GTGCAAAATGAAAACATGTGGACCCTTATTAAAAATTTATTAAGAATTACAAGCTGCTAATGGCATGGCATTAGATCTAGAGTGGGATCCTTCTAAGGATGGGGAGTGGTGTGACTGAACAGGTCACGTACCTGTGGGCACTCACTCTGCATCTGCTGCTGACAGAACAGGAAAGGCCTTCACCCCTTACACACACCCCTCCCAGATGATACCTAGGGTTACCCCATACCAAGGGGACCCTAAGTGGGATTGGCCTACCCAACGATCACTGGGTTACTGCCAGTCTGTGCGAGGACTCGGAGGCAATGCTGAGTGCCGGAAGCATTCTGCAGCTCACTGGCAAGGGCTGAGGCTCAGCCTGGGCGTTGCCGCTTGTCCTCGGCACGCCCTCCCAAGCCTGCGGCGCTCCAGCACATGCTGCTCTGCCTTCGGAAACCTTCGAATCCTGAGAACCATGACAAGCTTTCTGTCTCCCGAAACTTAAATCAAGAGTGGCTCTCTCCATACCCCTTCGAGGGCCTCGCTTCCCAGTAAAATGCATAAGCTGCCCCGACTTCACTCATCTTTCCTACTTTAGCATAACTTTGTCAGCCAAGATAATGGATTTTAAAAAACCATTTTGTGTCCTAAATGCCCGATACAAAGCCTAGCTCATAGCTGGAGCTAATATGAATAGAGAGATTAGATACCTATGGCGGTATTTCCTCAAGATATGTTATAGGGAAGAACAGTAGTCATATTAAAAAATATGGCTTTTGACTTATAATTTTCTTTCTTTTTTTTTTTTTTGTATTTTAGAGAAGGGTCTACAGGGTGTTCAGGGTCTCATTACTAGATCAGACTCACAGTGATCCTCCTGTTTAAAGCCTCCCAAGAGCTGGGATTACAGACATGCGCCATCATGCCCAGTCTCAACTGCCATCTCAGTGTGCCCTGGGGGCAGGGCCGGCACAGTAGGCTCGGGGATCAAACCCCCAGCTCCTGCACCTGCTTGTAGGTGCTTTAATCTACTGAGCTATTTGACTTACAATTCTTATTAAGAATATCTTGAACTATGGCCCTTTATTAGGCTTTTAGGTTCCCTGTTGACCCTACAGGGAAACCCAATTCAGTTCTTACCCAGTTCGGTTTTCGACCAGAATCACAGAGAGAAATGAGTACATGAACCAGGGAACCATGTATGTCCCTTTCCTCGGGGTGGTAGGGCTTGGAATGGAATACAGGCCCTTTGTATTGAGCTGCCTCCTTGACCCTTTTTTATTTTTTTGAGATAGGATGTCACAATTTGACAAATTGCTCAGTCTGGGCTCAAACTTGAAATCCATATCCCTCAGCCTCCAGTGGTGGCATTACAGGGAGATGCCACTATGACAGGCTTACATTATATTTTCTGACAACCTTGTGGTGGTCTTCCTTTCTAATACTATCCTTATTTTAGTGGGGAAGAAACTGAGGCTCAAAGAGGTGAAGTGCCTTTCCTTGGGCTACACGGTTGTTATTAGAACAGGTGGCTCAAAGGCCATACACTAAGGTACACAACCATACCACCAGGGGGTATGCAGAGAGAATACACTACACCATACTACACTACACTACACTACACTACACTGCACTATGGGACTATAGCACACTATACAACATACAAGATTCTACCTTCTAAGCAAGCTCTAATATCTAATATTTTAACCTACTATTATATTTTTATTTAGCTAAATAGTAAAAAATAAAATAAATGTTATCATATCCAAATAATTCCTTAGCACTTTAGTGGAAACCACCTCCAAATCCCAGAGATTTACAAGATAAGAAAGTGATCATGCACTTGATCTTTGCCCACCCTCCCTGTTTCAAGCCCAAGAGTCAAATGTGAGATTTCTGCTCCTTTTACTACTGTAGATCAATTAACTTGGTAAAAAGACACAAGTACAAATCTCCTCAATGCACACTTATATGCCAACAGTCCATTTCTTTACTAAAGCACTTGATGCTCACGGCAAAGTTGTGACATGTGGTAAGAGAAGTACAGAAGAAAGCAAGAGCTGGACTTGCGGAGAGAGTCAGAGTGCACAGGCCACGAGAGGCAGGGCACATGGGCCACAAGAGGCAGGGCGCACGGGCCACGAGAGGCAGAGCGCACGGGCCACGAGAGGCAGAGTGCACAGGCCACACGTGCTAAGAGTGCACCTCTGGCCAGGCTGCTGGCAACTTGCTTCTGTCCTGAATACTGCAGGCACTTGTAACACAAAGGTGAGTATGTGTTTAAATATATCTGTACATAGAAAAGGTACAGTAAAAATATGATGCCCCTACGCATTTTGAGCTCCTTTATAATCTTATGGGGCAGTAATCAGTCCTGACTGAAACTTCTTTCTGTAGCACATGACTGTAACTACAAAAATGTCACATTTTCTGCTGTGGAAGGACAAGCAGAAGTTGCAGAACTAGGACAAGCAGATAAGGAGCAACAGCCCACGTCGCAGTTGGACGTTTCCATGCCAGCAAGCCCCTCCCCAGCTGCCTGGTTCTCTCCGTTCCAAACTCACCACTGCTGTCCCCAGTTTGGGACTCTGGCCATTAGTTACCTGGGCGGTTGTGGGGCAATGACTAGCAATTGTAGGACAGCAAGGGACAGCAGCTTTGGCCACAAGTAGAAAGGAAACAAAATGCAGGTGGGTGAAGTGGAGACCACAGGCTGGCTGGTCAGTGTTCACTTTACACCCACAGGACTTCCTGGAGTGCCAGACATGCACAATGGACAGCTCTTTCCCAAACTGCGTTATGGTACTAGCTAGAATCTAAAAATGCAAATCTAAAATTCTTATCTAAAATGGTATCTGAACCCTCTGAGTGGTTGTAAGATTAAAATGAAGAGCCTGTAGGGTTTTTTGGGCACACTATTAGGTGCTATTTAAATACAAGAAGCCTTAGTGGCCCATTTCTGGCTGAAGGAATGGCTGCTATGCGAGGTCCTGGGCTCCTCTCCTGCCAGCTGCCTGTTGCCCCTCCTTTTGGCCTTCGCTGTGAACCTTATACTGCTTCTTCAGCGCCCACACGGCCCCATGCCCACCTTGGCAGTCAGATCTCTTCTGAAAGGGTGTCCCCAGGTGATGGGAGGACATTTGCTCCTCTCACCTCTGAGACACCAGGGCAAGCCCTCTCCGGCTGGGAACCGTGCACAAGCAGCCCTCACAGAGTACCTGTATGTACTGCCAAGCTGTCTGAGCAGTGTGCCCAGTGGTGCCCAGCCCCCGGCAGCATGCCCACCTACACACATGGAGCCTAAGAGCGATTGATCAGCATAGACTCCGAGTAGGCCTATTTCATTTTTGAAAAGGTCAAACCTGCACTTCTTAGAAAGTGGAAGGCCTATTTGTTTAAGTTTTATTTTTCTGGGACTGAGAAATATATCCTAAAGTGGAAACTTCTATTTTTTTGTGTGGTACTGGATTTTGAACGCAGGGCCCCACATGTGCGGGGCAGACACCTTACCGCTGAGCTCCACCCGACCCCAGCTTCTCCTTTCATTATAAACTGGAGGTTTAAGATCCCCAGAACCACATCTCACAGATGGGGCAAGGGCCTTCAGCACACAGTAATGCTGAGGTTAAACTCCACAGTAGCTTATCATCCTGTGGGCGAAATCTATCAAGGCGGCTTATAGACTTTATTATCCACTAAAACTAAAACTAATTAGGAGCTACGCTGAGTGGTTCCAACACACACCACTGGTATTCTTTCAAAACCTGCATTTTATTTCTCCGAGAGGCGGAGCTGGCAGGAATTATTTGGCAGATTAGATAATCACTGAGTGTTATTAAATAGAACAGTGTTTTGTCTTTTCTTTTTCTCTACACAGATGACACACACTTGTAAACGGCCTGGATGCGTGTGTCCCCCTGTCATGGAGATACACCCGAGGGAACAATTCCTCCACTGAGCTCAGGGCTGGGCTGCACCACACACCACGCCAGGGCCCAGACAATGCTGTGTCCTCTGAGGACAGCGAGAAGGGCTGAACGCCTGCTTCTCAGACAGTAAAGCTCCAATATGAACATACGTTTTTGCACATAGGTCCTCCAAAACTCACTTTTTAGCCATAACCCCCAAATTCCCCTTTGCCTACTTAGGAAACTATTTGGATACTAATTTTCCCAGGCAGATTTACAGAAATGCTAATGCTGCTTCAAACCACTTCGTTAGTGGAAGTATCACTGATATTCCTTAATGGCTATCTAGCATCATTATCATTTTAGAACTTGCACAAGTAAAACATAACCCAGATTACCTCTGGACTTGTAAAACTGATCTACACAAAAAGATCAAGCTTGCCCCCTGGGGACAGTGACAGCCACTGTGAGGCCACTCTGAGTGTGGTTGGGGGTCACCAGGCCTAACACACAACCCCAGAGCCCCAAGCCAGCAACCACAATCTTAGCCTGGAATTTATTTTTTTTAACAAATTCCTCCTGGACACTTGGTGCAAAGCAAAGCCTGAGACCTGCCCCAAGGAACTCAAGGCTTTCTCTGCTTTCCTCTCAGCCCCTCAAGCCCACCCCACACAGAAGAACTGGTAAGACTCAAGGTGACTCTTTGTGAGTCTGGAAAGTACAAAATGGACCCCTGAGGGTACTGTCTCTCCCCTATCCCTGGGCTACCAGAAGTCTTAAAGCTACACTCAATTACAGAAAGTTGTAGGCCTATCTGGCGCATATTTTGGTTCTTTTTTTCTCTCAAATTTTTATTCTTCTGTTCTCCCAGGCTCTAACTTTTACCTTTACTTGCTGCCATGATTTTATTTTTGTTAGCAACTCAAGCCCTCTGTGGAACAGAGCAGGGCATAAAATACAAACACACTTTCCCACAGACACAACTGAGGCAGCCGTTCTGTGCTCCTGCCGCGTTCCTCCCCGCGCAGAGCCCTGCAAGGCTGCCCTGCTCCCCACGCCCCTTCCACCTGGGAGTCTTTTCCTCAACCTCTGATAAAGCACCAGCTCCCTTACTTGTGTCCTTGGAGTTCGATAGCCGTTCCTTTTCTCCCACCGATGTCCCACATGATGACAGAGTGGTCGGAACTGCCTGAGAACAGCACCCGCTGCACTGGGTCCCAACAGAGAGCCGTCACCCCACCTGAGAGGACAGACATAGCCGGGCATTAGTCACAAAGCAGCAATGTCACTCAACAAGGGAATGAGAATGGAAAAGACAGAGGACCCGGTGTACTTTCTGGCATACTGAACCTCTGGGTTAGACAAGTAAGTAACTCCTAAAAGAAAAAAATCTGGCTTGAGAGTAAAAATCCCAGTCTTTATGCATTTCCCCCTAAATGTAACGCACCATAAAATCAATTACCATAAAGACCACTGGGAAATGAAACGAGACAATTAACTGACCTTCAAAAAACATATATAATTCTGAGAAGAATGAAAAATATTGCTCTATTTGGAAATATTAATCATATTTTCTTAACTTCTATCTTCCACCCTAATAATAACAGAAGACAAACAAATGGAAATTAAAGGGGCTCAATTTGATTTTCTATTTTTTTTGCATATATACTCATAGTATGTACAGAATTTACAAAAAAAAAGTATACATACTTCAGGGAAAAAAAGTAGTGTGATGTTTTCTCAACAGCTGGTATTATCCTCATGCGGGGGGCCCTAGAGGATGTCATAAATCACAGAAAACCCACTACACTGCCAGCCCTTGGAGAGGAAATTGCAAATGCACGCAGCACAGCAATCTTAATGAAGGAGGTTACCAAGCAGCAGTTCACCATACTAATTAATATGTGGAAGCTGAGGGCCACCACTCTGAGTGCCTTTTGTAACTGTAGAGGCCAAAGGTAACTTCCATTAATCTCATGATATCTCAATAAATTTACTGAATTAAAATATCTATAGAAATTTTTCTTTTCTTGAAGTATACATACACCTTTCTGTGGACACTGTATTTATGGGGTACAGTGTGATGACTCATTACAAGTATGCATTGCACAATGATCAAACCAGAGCAGTCAGCATATATGTATCTCCTCAAACACTTACCATTTCTGGTAGGAACATTCAAAATCCTTTCTTCCAGTTAATTGGAGAGATACAATACTATGCTGTTAACCATAAACACCCTACAGAGGCTGGGCATGGTGATATGTGACATGCTTATGAATTTCAGCACTCAGGAGGCTGAGGCAAATCCTAGGCCAGCCTGGCCACACAGCAAAACACATTATCAAAAAACCCCACATACAAACAAACAAAATACAGTCATCCTCCAGTGCAATAGAAAACCTGCACTTGTTTTCCTTTCTAGCTGTAACCTGGTATCCATCTATGATCACCTCCCACCCCAAGCCCCTACCTCCCAGCTTTGGTACTCACTCTTCTCTCCACAACTTGTAGAGATCAATACTTCTAGATCTCATATGAGTGAGAGCATGTGGCACTTCTTCTGTATCTGACTTATTTCAGTTAACACAATGTTCTCCAAGTCACCCATGTTGTCCATGAATTTCATCCCTTTTAATAGAACTGTATTCCACTGTATACACACCATATTTCCTTATCCACTCCTCAGCTGACTGACATTGACATTGTATCCACTTCTTAGTTACTGTAAATAGTGCCACAATAAACATAGGAGTGTGGTTATCACTTCAACATGCTGACTTCATTTCTTTTGGACATATACCCAGGAGTGGGATTGCTGGATCATATGATTCCATTTTTAAGTTTTTTTGAAGATCCTCCATATTTCCACAATGGCTATACCAACATGTCCCCACAACAGGGTGCAAGGGTTCCTCTCCATATCCTCACCTATATTTGCTCCCCTTTTAAATAAAAGTCATTTTAACTAGAGGGAGGTAAGAACTCCTTGTAGTCTTCATATATTTCCCAGATTAGTGATGTTGAGTATTTTTCCTTCATATACCTCTTGGCCATTTCTCTGCCTTCTTTTGAGAAATGCCTATTTTAGGTTTTTTATCCTGAACTTCAGATAAAATTAGGGCACAATATTAGAATTTATTTATTTATTTATTTATTTATTTTAGGGGGTGGAACTAGGGATTAAACTCAGGTCCTTGCGCTTACCAGGGAAGTGCTTCCGGGCTTCAGAGGGGAAGATGGTACACAGCTCTGTTTCCTGGGGAAGCTTGTTGTGTTTACTTTCCTAATGGGAACTTGGCTTTGCTCATTGTTGGAGGAACTTGGGACCTCATTGTTGCTGAGGATGGCTGTAGTACTTCTGTAGGGAGCTCTTGTGCCTACCTTGAGTGTTGCTTCCTGGCCCCAGTTCAGGTTCCTCAGCCTCCTAGCACAGATCTTTCATCCCACTGGTATAGGATGTCTAGCTTCCACCACTGACCCTTGGGCCTTCCCAACACAGATATGCAAAGTGGGCCTGCATGAGACATCACTGTGGGCTCTAGGCCTCCAGCCGGCCTTGTGGGAGGCATTGCTATGAGCTCTAGGTCTTCAGCTGGACTCAGGCAGGATGTTAGGATCCAGGCCCTCAGCAGGATCTTTGGTCTTTTAGAGTGTGGACAGATTTCCTGCACTCTTTCAATATGATTCTCTGTGTGATTCATTATAAAATAACCTTATAAAATGTGTCCTGTATTGTCCTGCTTGAAAAATACCAAAGCATGATAGGGGATGATGGTAACACGAGTAGGTACTGTGACCACTACAACCTCACTACTAACAAGATCAAACACTTATCCACTTCGTAAGACTGGTGAGAATTAATCACATAGGACCACACCATAAAGTGTAGTGTTTGGCTGTATGCGGGCTGCTGGCATCATTCTAGGCTATGGCTATGAAATATTAGGACAGATTTTCTTCTCTGGTACTGCCTTTGTAAATCAAACCCCTTGTATACTGACAGCAGTAAGAAGTTTTTTCATATAAGCTGAGCATGGCTGAGTGCTAGATGTGGGAGGCCATCTAAATATGAATTTCAGAAATACTCATTTTTTTACATTACTTATTAAAAATTCATATTCCAAGAAGAATATAAAATAGCTTATTCCCAACACAAGGTCCCCAGTTCAATCCCCATTACCAAAAAAAGAAAAAAGCTTATTTGTTGGAATCTCACATTTTAAAAACTTAAAGATTATCAATTTGCTTGAATGAATCGTTTAAGATCTTTTAGAGAAATTCCTCTCATAATTGTCTCAGAAGATATTTTTAAGATGAAAAGGAAAAAGAAAACTCACTGTTTGGGTTCACGCTTCCTAACTTCGCCCTGCACCTGCATGGCATCCTGCGCGCACACACTCCTGGCCACGTGAGAGTGAACGCCACCTCCCCAGGGCTGGCACAGCCGATCCCCTCCTACGGCTCCCAGCCCTCGGTGCCTTCCACCATCCTCCACCCCACAGCAGTGGCCACGTGCAGTGCCAGGGCCCAGGCTCTAGTACTTTCCGCTGAATGGTAGAGGAGCAGGTGAATAAAATCCACAGAAGTCCTTGTTTTCTACTCCATGCAAACCCCTGCCTTGATGACGCTGCCTCCTGAGAGACACCTCCCTTCACTACCCTCATGATTCTCCTCATCACTCGCACTGTTTTTACTTGGCTTTTCTCCATGCTGGTTGTCTGCTGCTCTAGTATAAGCACATGGAAGGCACCAGTGTTACCAATGCTGCGAATCCTACCTGGCTTAAAGTACGTACTCAAGAAGCGTGTACAAGAAAAGCAAGTAATTGAATGAAGGAGCGAAAATAGGAATCAACATCCTTGTTCTTCTTCTGAGCAGATAAAGAAAGTGTGACAACTGTCTCCTGGCTGGCTGGGGCTGTTCACGTGATGCCTTCTCTTCTACTTTTAGTCAGGGAACATTCATCTCAAAGACAATCTCTGAGCTGGTCTTACTTTACTAGAAAACACTATGATTAGGAGGACAGATAAAGGCAAAAAGCTCGGGTTTTCCATCACATCAGATTTAAATAATGGTGGGCACTGGCAGAAGGAATGGCTGGAAAGATTTAACTGAATCAGACTTACGTGGAGGGGCTCTCCATCCTGTCAGAACCAGCACGAAAATACTGTTTCATAATGTAGCACGTGGAATTCGGAGTGGGGTGGGGGGGGTGAAGGTTATCTGAGTCTGGAATGCAGCAGCCTCACTTCCGTATTGCCTAACTGCGCCAACAGGCCCACTGAGAGCTGAGTTATAAACGGGAAACGCAGCACCCTTTCCGAATCAGTTCAACAAGTATGCACTGAGCACCTTCTGTGTGGCAGGCACTGTGCTAGGCTGTGTGGATACACTCACATAAGACAGAGACCACAGACACGCAGGCAGGGACAACGAGACTCTTTGTCTTGGACACAGGTTCTCGTTAAGTAGCTCAGGCGGGCCCTGAGCTCACTACGTAGCCAAGGCTGGCTTCAAACCCAAAGGCACAGTGGCCTCCTGCCTCAGCATGCATCCCCCACAGGGCATCCACGTGGGCCACGTGCCCCAACCCACAGACAGCAGGCCAGAGCTACCCTTCCTGTAAGTTTTCAGGGTTCATGGTATTTTCAATGATAAACATAAATTCTTCCAGATCATTTTACTTCACTTATCCATTTTTCTACTCTCCTTGAATGTTTCACTTCCTGCTTCTTCTCCCTGCCTGTGACTGCCACAATATAACCTCTAGGATAGTTTTTAAATAAAATGATTTTCCAAACTAAAGGCTATTTATCATTTTTTTAATGTTTACAAAACCTTTATTTAGAATGAAGAGAAAGTGCTGGAAATGGACAGTGGTGCTAGCTGTATAACTTTGTTAATATATTTAATGCCACAGAATCATACATATAAAAATTGCTAAAATGATAAAATTTAATTATGTATATTTTATCAGAATAGAAAAGCGTACATGTGAACTGAGCGACTGCACCAAAGATAGCAATGTATAACAGTGGGGTCATGCTTGGAATGCCGGTCATTCTGGTCTTCTAAATACGTACTGCTTGCCATGACATACCAATTATGGCCAGACTGTATCTCAAGTAAATGTTTTTTGTTTTTTGTTTTTTTTATAAATGTTCCATCTTATGCCTGAGATGTTTGATATTCAAACAGATAGTGAGATTAAACCCATCTGCATATGTTGTAGGGCAA